ATAAAGTCTGTGTTCATGCTGATTTTGAGCGCCGCTTTGAGCTTTGAATCTCAGACAGGTATCACTATTATAATACGCTACCATATGCATCAGCGGAGCATTATACCGCGACACTTGATTGACATTCCCCGCACAATAAGACAGTATCACAAAGGAACAAACACTGCCAATCCTCGGGGCTTCCCTTGGACACAAAGTGCCGGGGATGTTGCCGAGACGGTACTGAAGGCTAAATGAGCGCGTGTGCTCATGAAGATCTGTAACGCGACCTCTGCTCCAGCAGCGCTGTGGGAGACGCGATGGCGAGCGTTTGTTTCTCGACGACCGCTCCTCTCGCCATCCTCGCCGTGCGCCTCCACACAAAGGGAGGCGCAAGAGCGTGCACGCCGGGTGTCCCACCTGGGCCAGATCAATATTTGGCTTTTGCATTTCGTGTAAGACATGCTGGGACTTGCTGATAATCTCTCTAATGCCATTACAACCGAGTCGCCCCCTCCACAGACGTGTACAGGCGGAACATGTGATTTTTTTCCCTCTTATCGATAATCCTCGCGAAGGCAAAACGGTACAGTGTATATCCCCTCCGCGAGCTCGCCCAGGCTTGCCGGGCGGCCCGGGCGTAACAGACACGAGTCAGGGCTCCCTTCCTCAGCAAGCGACTCGACGGCACGCCTCCCACGGCTTCCCACTCCAGGCCTGGCAATTAATCTCACACGGCGCCGGGGCGCGCAGTGATTAATCAAGTTTCCCCTGCCGTTATCGGCCTCTCCTCGGGCTCCCGCGACAGCGCTGTGCCCAGAGGGACTGCGCCACGAGCCACAGGCAGCAACCTCACCCACTGTGCCAGCGAGGCGCGCGCGCGCACGTGCACACGCGCGTGCACACGCGCACGCGTGTGCACGGGCAGGCACACCCACTCAGGACACTCAAAGAGCGGCGTCTGCAGAACTAATGTGACAAGCTGTGAGGGGGGCTCACCTCCAGAGACCCCTGGCAGACAGGCCCGAGGAAAATTCATTTCTTCTGGGCACACTTCACAAGGGCTCACACCTGCTAGTGAAGGTGAGCTCTATGGAGATGAGTTTAACAGCTTTATTAAGGCTTCTTTTTAATTAAATAACAACACGCCTGAGAATAAATGATCGTACCCAACAAGCACAACACGTAGCCAAGCTTCATGCAAAAGGCAGGAATTTTTTTTTTCTCACTGTGCCAATCATTGCAAGTGCTCATCATCGCAGGGAATGAATGCTAATTGAGGCTGTGAAACCAGACAAATAAGTTGAAATGTTTCATGAGAAAACCCATGATATAACAAGAGCTGTCTAATTAAAGCAGATGAAGAGTTTTGCGAGTTTAATTAGAGTGTTGTGGGCGCAGTTAATGCAGCCGAAGGAAGTCGGCGGACAGCTCCCTTTACAGCGAGGAGGATGATGATGATGATGGACGGCGATGCCTATTTTATCAAATATAAAAAGTTATTAAATTTAAGAAATATGCTACCTTGGCACACGAGACATGGACTGCGGCGAGGAGGCCCCGAGTTTTCCCACGCGTTAGACACGGGAGGCAAGTGACGACACGGCCGATTGCGCCGTTGGAAACGTGGGTTCGTTTCACCCACAAGAGGCGTGCGACGCACAAGGCAATCAAACTAAACTATTAAAAACTCAACTTTCTTATTTAATTTTACCAGTTGAGGACCACTGAGCTACGTAGCTCTTTTTCAGAAGTGATCTGGCCACAAATGATAGCGTAACGAGTTGGCTTATCGTGTGTAAATGTATAGCAGCCAAATGTAGAGGGGAGAACCCGGAGAAAAATCCACGTGATCACGGAGCGAACATGCACACTCCAAATATACAGCAGCAGGCGTCAGGGTTGGGATCGAACCCACGACCTCCTGTATACCAGGCGAGGGAGTTAACATCTAGCCACCGTGGCGCCCTTCCCCCAAATGTTGAGCGTCTTCCAAATTTCTCCAAAAATCTTGCCTTTGGGCTCCCTGGATGGGCTCAGTGTTTGCTCACCCTTGTGTCTGAAGATACCTTCCCAGAGACATGAGAGCTATGCTTACTCTGAAATGGGGTTTAAACAAATAAATAAAACACAATTTATTAGTAATATCGTGCAGTTAGCCGCATCCCAGGCTAGACGTTAAATTAAGCAGATTAAACAGCATCGATCCGCTCGTTGGGCTCGCGCTCCGTAGAGGAGCTGCTTGCGCCATGCAGAAAGAATTCCCAGGCCGCGATGGCGCGGCTGAAATCACTCGGTGACTCCTAATTGAAAAAATTGTCACTTTTAATTTTGCTTAAAGAGAATGGAGGCAGCTTCTTCCAAAAGACACCACAAAAGACAATACAATCTGGAATAAGACTGATGAACATCCATGCAACACTTCCCCAGGCCCATTGAAATGCATCCTCGATGGTTAATATAGGCTAAGTAAGCAAAAAAAAATGAAATAGCAATTCAATAACCACATAACATCACCCGAAAGAAATTACATGTCAGAAGAATGTCTTTTAAGATGCTTATAATAAAATTTATGCTGTCATCAAGCCTTGCTAGCGCTGTATTAGTTGCTAGAACACGAGATTGCAAGGCAGATTGCTAATATTGTAGGTGCGAGTAATGCCACATATATCAAGGTCTACAGACCTGAAGCAGAAAAAGAACAAGCGAGACACAGCTTTTTAATCTGAAGTGCTACTCCAAAATACCCAATACAAGCCTAATGCCTTGTTACAAGTTATTTGAGGGATTTACCAAATGCCAGTATCGATCAAAATAGCAGGGCTTCATTGTTTAACCCCTGCTGCCAGAGCCAGCTGTGCCACAGCTGTCGGGATTCCCAACCTCGCGAGCCAAAGGTTTTGCGCCGGAGCGCGAAACGAAACGACGATCGGCGGCGCGGCCACGGGGGCCGACCGAGGTATCCCCCCCTGGAGACGGACACCGGGCGACGATTGGGCAACCAGCAACAGGCGACAACGGGCACCATCGGGTGACAAAATAGGGCAGAACGTGCAGCATTTTCCAATCACAGCCGAGTTGGTTTCAAATTAGAAGCCATCAATTATTCAACCTAGTCGGGGGGGGGGGGGGTGGAGGGAAACATGATGCCTCCTCCATTGAGCAGGCAGGAAGCACTCCCTCCAGCGGGAATGAAAAATGAATTAGCCCCAAAATTAATTAGTCAGCATGACAAGTAACTGACACTTCATCATCACACGGGCAAGGCGGCATCGCGGCGCACCGGGTCAGCCGAACTCGCCCGTCCACGGCATCCGTGAAGGAGCTGGAGGGGGCAAGAAAAGGTGCCACTCCAATCTGCCACCGCACTGTCCGGGTAATTATAATTAACACCCAGCCCCCTCGTCCAACACCCCATCCCTCACCCCCACCCCCAAAACTCGCCCTCCCCCGACAACACGGAGCCACGAAGCAATTTCATCAGCGTAATCGATAGTTGTCTCACGGCAGCTATCCCCGCCAGAGACTAACTCTGCTCTTACATCACAAGGCATTCCGTCCAAATTAATGCTACATTACAATCGGCAGCTGATTGCAACATGCTCTGAGCCTTGTATTAATCACAGGCCTGCCCTAATTACACCTTAACGCGGCCCTAAACACAAGGCATTGTGTCTGTAGTACACGGCTTTACGAGGCCCCATGCGACGGCAAGTACTGGGGCTGCGTCTGCCACCAGGGATGGACGGTGTGGCCGAGGGCCCTCCGTGAGGCGTAGGCCCAAGCGCCCCAACACGGACGCTCACCACGTGGGGCCTCCTCCCGATGGGATTCCCTCGCTGCCATTCACTCAGAGAAAACATTTTGACGGTATAAGACGTGGAGCTTTCAAGCGGTGGCTCTGGAGGTCAACTGTTTTTTTGTATCTATTGTTTTAAGATTCTTTATCAAGAGCTCCATCGTGACCCCCCCACCCACCCTCCCTGGGTGCTGGAGTGCCTGTCGCTTGTGAATTATTAAACAATAAAATCCACAAAAATTGATTCTGAACCAGAGTCCTATTGATTGAGCTGTGACACTAATGACTTCCTGTGACATCACTACAACTCTGGAATAAACAAAGTGATTGCGTGCGTGTGTGTGCATGTGTTATTATGTAAATAGCATTTAATTTGTTTTCATGATGTATGTATAATCTTAGGAGATTTTACTTTTAATCTGACCTCTTGGAATGTGGAAATAAAACTGCGTAGCTCTGATAATGGAGGCTCAGACATGTGAGTTCTTCAGACATGTGAGTTCTTCAGACATGACACTCATGACGATCACGACATATAAGCCAAATACCAAACCAAGCCTTAGCTGAGTTTCAATTAAGTCTAAACCAATTCTGTTGAAATCTAAATCGAGGTTAAATCACGGGAAGCCAAGACCAAACAGAGATTGAGAGCAAGGCAAACACCAAGGTTAAACCACAACTAAATCAAGACGAAACAATTCTAAACAATGTCTAAATCAAGGTTAAGCCAATACTAAGTCATGTCTAAACTAAGTCTACAATAAGGCTAAACCAAGCCTATGTACATCGCTAAAGGACAAGTTTTCAGGAGCTCCGCTGACCTACAAACTGCTCAGCCACTCTTTTCTCGAGGATAGAATTTTTAATCGGCAAGCTCACATTTCACCCAGCCGGCCAGCACTCGAGTAGCCTCTGAGGTGATATTGTGTTCCTGGCGCACAGGATCGTGCAAAGATTTCCACTAAGAGGCAAACTAACATCATAGCTTTGCGCGATGGACTCTGCAGTATGCACGGAAGTAGAAAGGATGCTTCTCGAACTATAATAAACATAACCGTGGCCATGAACGTAAAAAAACAACCTCTGTTATGTCTAAGGTGAGGTGAGAGGGAGCAGGTGGCCAGGGAAGCAAAAGCAGCAGCAACTTGAACATGGTGCACCGAATGAAATGGGGTCCCCTGTTCTATTTCTTCTCTCTTCATATCCCAGCACCTGGGGCCCCTCAAGTCCGTGGGCTCTGGTGCAGTTGCACAGCCTGCACACTCGATAGGCTACACAACAGCTCCCAAAGCCAACCCTCACTACTGGAAACCAAAACAAACAAAGCTGATGACTTTTGGCCCTCGGAAGTTGTGTCAAAATGCAGCCAGGCCAAGCAGGCCCCTTTACCAGCTCTGACCAATAGGTCGATAACTATGTAAAAAAGAATCTGCACTCATGCATTAGAACAAGTAGAGTGAAAAATGCAAGAGATTGATGGATTTAGAGAATTTCATAAGCATGTCCATATGTGGGACTGCATAGAGTCAGTGACCATTTGCAAATGTGTGGTAAAGGCTTTCAGCAAAAAGTGTGGGTTAAAACGTTAACCCCTTCTCTCGTTCATTACAAGCAAATCCTCTTTGTGTTTAATATGATTGTGTGTGTGCTTAAACGTGGTGCCAGGCACGCAGTAGCACAGCTAGGCTATTGAACGTGCAGGTGGTGCACAAGCACTGGGGCGCACGGAATCAGGGGGGCCTACGCGTCGGAGCTACGTTCAAATGACAATGAGATGAGCGGCGGACCCCCGTTGCTTATGATGAGGCCGAAGCCACTCCTACAATCGCACCCATCTTACCCATTCTCACGAATTACCTCCTCACAAACTGCCTCCTCACAAACTGCCTCCTCACAAACTGCCCCCTCACAAACTACCTTCTCACAAACTGCCCCCTCACAAACTGCCCCCTCACAAACTGCCTCCTCACAAACTGCCTCCTCACAAACTGCCTCCTCACAAACTGCCTCCTCACAAACTGCCCCCTCACAAACTGCCCCCTCAGAAACTGCCTCCTCACAAACTGCCTCCTCACAAACTGCCTCCTCACAAACTGCCTCCTCACAAACTGCCTCCTCACAAACTGCCCCCTCACAAACTGCCCCCTCACAAACTGCCTCCTCACAAACTGCCTCCTCACAAACTGCCCCCTCACAAACTGCCCCCTCACAAACTGCCCCCTCACAAACTGCCTCCTCACAAACTGCCTCCTCACAAACTGCCCCCTCACAAACTGCCCCCTCACAAACTGCCCCCTCACAAACTGCCCCCTCACAAACTGCCTCCTCACAAACTGCCTCCTCACAAACTGCCCCCTCACAAACTGCCCCCTCACAAACTGCCTCCTCACAAACTGCCTCCTCACAAACTGCCCCCTCACAAACTGCCTTCTCACAAACTGCCCCGTCACAAACTGCCTCCTCACAAACTGCCCCCTCACAAACTACCTTCTCACAAACTGCCCCCTCACAAACTGCCTCCTCACAAACTGCCCCCTCACAAACTGCCTCCTCACAAACTGCCCCCTCACAAACTGCCTCCTCACAAACTGCCTCCTCACAAACTGCCTCCTCACAAACTGCCTCCTCACAAACTGCCCCCTCACAAACTGCCTCCTCACAAACTGCCCCCTCACAAACTGCCTCCTCACAAACTGCCCCCTCACAAACTGCCTTCTCACAAACTGCCTTCTCACAAACTGCCTCCTCACAAACTGCCTCCTCACAAACTGCCTCCTCACAAACTGCCTCCTCACAAACTGCCCCCTCACAAACTGCCTTCTCACAAACTGCCTCCTCACAAACTGCCTCCTCACAAACTGCCTCCTCACAAACTGCCTCCTCACAAACTGCCCCTTCACAAAATGCCTCCTCACAAACTGCCCCCTCACAAACTGCCTTCTCACAAACTGCCTTCTCACAAACTGCCTCCTCACAAACTGCCTCCTCACAAACTGCCTCCTCACAAACTGCCCCTTCACAAACTGCCTCCTCACAAACTGCCTTCTCACAAACTGCCTCCTCACAAACTGCCCCTTCACAAACTGCCTCCTCACAAACTGCCCCCTCACAAACTGCCTTCTCACAAACTGCCTTCTCACAAACTGCCTCCTCACAAACTGCCTCCTCACAAACTGCCTCCTCACAAACTGCCCCCTCACAAACTGCCTTCTCACAAACTGCCTTCTCACAAACTGCCTCCTCACAAACTGCCCCCTCACAAACTGCCTTCTCACAAACTGCCTTCTCACAAACTGCCTCCTCACAAACTGCCTCCTCACAAACTGCCTCCTCACAAACTGCCTCCTCACAAACTGCCTTCTCACAAACTGCCTCCTCACAAACTGCCTTCTCACAAACTGCCTCCTCACAAACTGCCACCTCACAAACTGCCTCCTCACAAACTGCCTCCTCACAAACTGCCTTCTCACAAACTGCCTCCTCACAAACTGCCCCCTCACAAACTGCCCCCTCACAAACTGCCCCCTCACAAACTGCCTCCTCACAAACTGCCTCCTCACAAACTGCCTCCTCACAAACTGCCCCTTCACAAACTGCCTTCTCACAAACTGCCTCCTCACAAACTGCCTCCTCACAAACTGCCTTCTCACAAACTGCCTCCTCACAAACTGCCACCCCACAAACTGCCTCCTCACAAACTACCTTCTCACAAACTGCCTCCTCACAAACTGCCCCTTCACAAACTGCCCCCTCACAAACTGCCCCCTCACAAACTGCCTCCTCACAAACTGCCTTCTCACAAACTGCCTCCTCACAAACTGCCACCCCACAAACTGCCTCCTCACAAACTACCTTCTCACAAACTGCCTCCTCACAAACTGCCCCTTCACAAACTGCCCCCTCACAAACTGCCCCCTCACAAACTGCCTCCTCACAAACTGCCTCCTCACAAACTGCCTCCTCACAAACTGCCCCTTCACAAACTGCCTTCTCACAAACTGCCTCCTCACAAACTGCCTCCTCACAAACTGCCTTCTCACAAACTGCCTCCTCACAAACTGCCACCTCACAAACTGCCTCCTCACAAACTACCTTCTCACAAACTGCCTCCTCACAAACTGCCCCTTCACAAACTGCCCCCTCACAAACTGCCCCTTCACACACTGCCCCCTCACAAACTGCCCCTTCACAAACTGCCCCTTCACAAACTGCCCCCTCACAAACTGCCCCCTCACAAACTGCCCCTTCACAAACTGCCCCCTCACAAACTGCCCCTTCACAAACTGCCCCCTCACACACTGCCCCTTCACAAACTGCCCCCTCACAAACTGCCCCTTCACAAACTGCCCCCTCACACACTGCCCCCTCACAAACTGCCTCCTCACAAACTGCCCCTTCACAAACTGCCCCCTCACAAACTGCCTCCTCACAAACTACCTCCTCACAAACTGCCTCCTCACAAACTGCCTCCTCACAAACTGCCCCCTCACAAACTGCCTTCTCACAAACTGCCTCCTCACAAACTGCCTCCTCACAAACTGCCTCCTCACAAACTGCCTCCTCACAAACTGCCCCTTCACAAAATGCCTCCTCACAAACTGCCCCCTCACAAACTGCCTTCTCACAAACTGCCTTCTCACAAACTGCCTTCTCACAAACTGCCTCCTCACAAACTGCCACCTCACAAACTGCCTCCTCACAAACTACCTTCTCACAAACTGCCTCCTCACAAACTGCCCCTTCACAAACTGCCCCCTCACAAACTGCCCCTTCACAAACTGCCCCCTCACAAACTGCCCCTTCACAAACTGCCCCCTCACACACTGCCCCCTCACAAACTGCCCCCTCACAAACTGCCCCTTCACAAACTGCCCCCTCACAAACTGCCCCCTCACAACCTGCCTACCAAACAAGCGGGTACCGGGTGTTCATACGCAGCAACTCACATGAATGCTTAGCGGTGTTTACTCTGATCCATTTAAGTATGCGTTTTAAACGAATTCCTTTAAAAAATAAATTGATAACAATACCAAATAATTACACCGAACGAAATGCTTTGCCTCCTTTTCGCAATTAAGCTAATCACTTTTATTATCGCCGGTGAAATATTTATGTGGCACTTCCGCGAGCCCTTTTTAACTGTACTCAGTCTGCAAAATAAATACAGCAATGTGGTGCATAACTTAACCTCCTCATGACATACGTTTAAAATATGTACAGAACATCAAATTCATTTTCATCACAATTATTGATTAATGCATTTGTAGAGTACCCAGTAGACCTGGCCGGATGGTTAAAATGCTGAAAGTGAGCTAGTAACTTCATTACAGAAAGCCGTGAAAAACCAACAAAAAAGTGACCTCTGGTTTCTCAAAAGCACCTGATTTATTTCCATAGTGACCATTAAGAGGGTTTACCACAAACAACCGTTTGAGCCTGCAAAGATCGGATAACGCGCATATGCCCGTGACATTTGATCAAAGATGAATAAATACATTAAGGCTCTTTTTATGATCCCAACACGCGCCAACAAATGTCACACGCACAAATGACGACCGAATGCACGCAATTAGTGTCAATCATGAGGCCAGCCACAGCCGTGGCTTAATAATCACGGCAGCCCTATGGACTGCACATCTCGCAAAGACACGGCGCTCCAAAGCCACACAGACGTGCACACTAACACGTGCAAGAGAGAGTGGAGCCATGCTCACACACGTGCACAACAACGCACCCTTGTACTACAGCCAATGCAGACTGTTGGGGCAAGTGCTGTTTGTGCTGGATTAACACCACACTTGTTCAAGTTTACAAAACACACCAGGGTACCCATTTCAATTTAACACGTAGGCTTTCGCGACCAATATTATTCATAATATATGTTTTTGGGTCAGATCGTGTTATTTATAAATGTGTCGTAGCCCTCCAACACACGACACGGCCAAACAGTAAAAAATGTGTCACGTTTTTCAAAGGACAAAATAATTCACTTCTTTAGCCCACCGGTGTGCTGAAGAGAGAATCAACAGCATTTTTTAATTTGAGTACGACGTTTCGCTGATAATTACAACCATTTCAGACTGAGTTGACCTCGGGGAGACTCAGAAACAGTTCCAATGTCACTCACCGCTGATGCGAGGTATCTCTCGGGATCCAACTCAGGGCACGAGGTTTGTAGTGCAGTGCTCATCATACAACAACAATAATCGCCATACACGAAGATAAAGGTCCCTCCTAAAGCCTGAACAGACTTCAGGGGCAAGTGCTGTTAGCGAGCACCTATGAAGGCCGGGACACGGCACACGAGAGGGTGGGTGGCCAGCACCACGCTCGGCCACCTTTGTCTGAGTCGACCTAGTGGAGGCCTAGTGGAGGCCCAGGACCGGTTCAGAAAATGGTCACTTGTGTTAGCCGTGAGCGGGAATCGAACTCGGGTCCTCGGGTTCGTAGCGCTGCGCCACCGCTCTCCACAAAGATAAAGACAAAGATCCCCCGTAATAGCCTTAACAGACTGTCGGGACAAGTGCTGTTAGCGAGCACCTCTCAAGGCTGGCACGGAACACGATGGGGTGGCGATGTTCACACACCGCACCAGGTACTCATTTGAGGCTGAGTCGACCTAGGGGAGGCCCAGGACCGGTTTAGATCATCGCTGCCACTGGTGATGGCCCTGAGCGGGAATCGAACCCGGGTTGCCAGGTTCGTAGCGCAGCGCGCTAACCGCTACACCACCACTCCCCACACCGCTCTCCACACACACTCACATAGACAAATATATGCACAGACACACATATGAATTCACACTCGCTCACATAAACGCTCACACATTCACATCGACGCACATTCGCACGCAACTCACACCGGCACAGTGGGGGCATGCCATTGGTCTACTTTAAGCGCCACGTGGAAATACGCCGCACGTACCTTCGAAGCCCAAGTCCCATGTAGCCAAGTCGGGTGGTCAGTGCGATTTTAATTCTTCAATTACAGAGTGGCCACTGCGCCTCCGTGGTGACAGACACGCACACCCTCCCATAAAATGGGGCATTTTTTTGCCAGTATCAACGTATGAAAACATAAGAATAGGGTTGTATCCATTCTGGCAATAAAACAGGGGTTAAGATGTTCAAACACCAAATTGATTCCTTCTGCAAGGAATCATGTTACTGCATTAACCACACACGATATTTGTGAACATGCTCTGATAATAACTGTGTAACAAAAAAAATGTGTTCCTGGGTAGTAAGTGTTATTTTTAAATTGCTTATGCCTCAAAAGTACAGAAAGTGGCTATTATTCCCCACACAAAAGCAATGTTAATAATCCACTCCATTAATAACACTGTGCAACAAATTTATTTATTTTTTGTTCCTGTGTAGTAAGTGTTATTTTCTAATTGATTATGCCTCAAAAGTACAGAAAATGGCTATTATTCCCCACAAACTTTGCGTTTGTGACCAGGACATTGATATTTAGAAATGTACCTATTTTCAATGAGAAAACGTGTGCATTTGTGTCATTCCTTCACGTAAATGCCTGATCACAAAAGCAAAGTTTGTGGGGAATAATAGCCATTTTATATACTTTTGAGGCATAAGCGATTAGAAAATAACACTTACAACCCAGGAACAAAAATTGTGTTACATATGTTCACCACAAGCACGTGTTGTTAATGCAGACTTGATTCCTTGCAAACATTTATCTATTTGGCCTTTGAACATCTCGACACTTGTTTCATTACCAGAAAGGGTAAAACGTCTTCTTATTTTTACACTCATCTCCGCCATGGCTCCATCCG